AAGTTAACGACTTGTTTACTGGGCGTTTTTCTGCCGTTTCCATAACGTTAACGCGCCGTTTTTTGTGTTGACCGTTTACTGGAGATTAACTGGCCGTTAACGGGCCGTTTTTTTGGACCTGGGTATTGTGAATTTTTTCAACGCTGTATGTTCTAAACATATAGAAAATGAAGAATGTATCTAATAAAATACACGAATATGGTTACACAGTGCAAGAAGGATGAGTATAAGTAAATCCTACGTTTCAACCAACGTGCTACGCACGAAAAGAAATAAACATACTCATCCAAATAAAGTAATCTTTAAGGACTACAGAAAGAACGATCTATTTGTATAAACAAAGCTCAATCGATTTAAATTTTTTAGCTCAAATTGTTAGAGGGCATCCGAGCAACATAACCAGCCCGAGCTCAAAATTTTTCGTCGGCAGCGCTTCCAGGGCCATCAAAGGTTATAAAAAATTTTCTAAAAGTCCCCAAAACAGCCTAAAGCGACAACTGTACAAAAACTGCAACTTGTTTTCTTTTTACCGCGTTCTGATGTAGAGAGCAAGAGCTTAGATGCGCATCATGAGCGATATACGTCAAGTGCTAACTATAGTCAAAAGCACGGGTACGTTCGATATTTCGAAACACATGCTATTCAACTCAGATTTCGACGCTGACTCCAAATATGATATTTTAATTGTATAAAACGCGAGTTCTTGTGCAGAAAATAGAGAATTACGGGCAGAATTCTGATTTTTTCGCTCCTCAGTCAGAAAAAATGTGCTTTCTCAGGAACGAAACAAATTTAAAAAAGAGCGATTCGTACTTTCAAAGCTTGTTTAATGACGGTTCTAATGAGATAAAAATGTCGGCTTCATTTCTTCACAAAAAAACTAGATAGGTTGCCTTTTTGTTAAAAAAGCTTCCTCCTGAGTATTTGAGTAAGATAACAGTTTTAATAAATGCGCGGAAGCTGGAGAATTTTTTGAGAAAGCAAAAATCGTCAAAGGTATATTTCTTTCGAAGAGGGTGCATATTCAACAGAAGATCGTCTTCGTTCTATCTCTCTCTTACCAAATTTAGGAAACGTTTTTGAACGAGTTATGGTAGCGAGAATTGAAAAATGGTGTCGTGACAAAGGAATCCATTTAGATGAGCAATTGGGATTTACAAGCGCAAAAAAGGTTTCAAACATGTATTTTATCTATAGTACAAGATAAGATCTTAGATTAACAATAGCTGCATGTAACAGACCCGCTCTTGCTATTTTTGTAGATTTCGCAACGGCTTTTGATAAGATGTAGTATCCGACGCTTATGAAACACTCGAAAAATTACGGATGCCTTTAGGTCAGAGCCCTGCAGGTTGATCCTAACCTAACCTTTAGGTTAGGTTAGGATTAGGTTACAAAAGCTATAGATTAGGTTAGGATTAGGTTGCAAAAGTTATAGGCTGGGTTAGGTTATAGGTTGTTCTATTTTTTTTTCAATCGTTAGGTTAGGATTAGGTTGTCGAATCCATAGGTTAGGTTAGGATTAGGTTGTGAAATTTTTTATAGGTTAGGTTATAGGTTGCCAAATATTGGCAACTTGCAGGGCTCTGCTTCAGGTTTAAGACATTGGATTTTTAACTAATTACAAAAACGTTTAAGATGAGTATAAGTCACGGTAATGCTAAGTCTAGATTGTTTCCTGTGTTAGTTGGCGCTCCACAAGGTAGTGTGTTAGCAGCACTTCTACCTAGACTTCATATCCGCTTTCGGCCATCTGAGAAAGGTGGACTTTACTGAAAAAAAGAATGACCGAAAAAAGACGATCGATCTATATCTAGATTAAGCATTTTCATCGACTGTCTTATATAAGATTCTTATTAGACTTCTGTAGAATTGCCGTACGTTCGGTCACCTAGGGTAGAACTCTTTGTAGTTATTAATATTCGAGTTTGAGAGAAGGTAGTTTTTAATCAGATATTTTTCTCCTGAGGTTTTTAGGAACTAACTAAAAACAGGTTTCATCATTGAACGATGGATCGGCTGAAATTTTGCATAGATGGCTTCAAAACGCTCAGATTTTAGGAGATAATATCTGATTAAAAGCTACCTGCTCTCAAAATCAAATATATTCCTATCAAGAGTTGGATATGCGTCATTAATTTTAAGACTTTTTCTTAAACAAATCATCCATAGTCTGTTCTTTGAATTATGCATCACAATCGGTATTTTGTGGGAGTTTGTACAAGTTAACGTGCAACAAACGCAGATCTGAAGAAAACTGTGCTTCCCCTTTTTTGGAAATATCAAACTCCCACTTTACTCCATCCTTTTTTTCTTAAATACTCAAAAACGTTACGTTATAGGGACAATCATTCAAATACTGGTGAAATAACACTTGGCAGTACTAATAAAAAACGTTTTAACGGAGATCTGGTCTATGTGCCTCTAGAATACAATGGCAGGTGGATAATTCGAATAAACGGGTGAGTATGGTTATAATCTTCAATAAAAGCTGTTCGAATTCCTTTACGCTTCCTTCTTTATCTTTAGCATCAAAATTGGTGATAAAACAGTTGCTGGAAATATAACAGTTGGCATGGATACCGGTTGCAGTGCTATATATGGAAATGAAAAGGATATTCAACTAATAAACGATTTTATCGGCGCAATAGTGCCTGAAATCAAAGCACAAGACGATGGGACAAATAAAAGATTCGTAAGTTTCTTCATGTGAAAAGCATCTCAACTTGAAAATTTGGCATCTTTTGAAGACTGAAGAACTACTGGAACAGTTAATGCTCTATTATCGAGGTTTTTCTAATCGTTAAGGTTATATGACTTTTCTGTCATTTTAGTACCTATTCGCTTGTTCAATAGATTTCGATTCTCTTCCGCCAGTCTATATAGGTTTAGGAAATAAATGGTTTACAATTTACAGTTCGGATTATGTGGTCAAATCTGATAATAATACGAAATGTTTTAGTCGTTTTGTGTCACATGGTGACGTCTACAGTGTTTTCTGGGTTTTTGGACAGGGTGTTTTCCATCGTTTGTATACAGTATTTGGAACTACCCCTGTATTACTTGTGGGTAAATCTTATAAATTTCAAATGAAACATTTAGGTATGCTTATAGTTATTGAGTTTTTACTAAAAGGAAAAGGTTTTACAGAAGAAGAGTGCTAATCATGAAATTCATTGTCAAAGTTCCGTATGAAACTTTATTCTTGCAAATGATTTCTTCCTTAATACAATGCACAATTGACACCGGATATTATAATACGAGTCTAACTGACTATTAGATGCTGAAGCCCGATAACTTCATTACAGCAGATTCAGTTCTGACCGCTGTTCTTAATCATTCAATATTTTATAATCAATTCGGATAAATAATATGGAATAGAATCAGTCAATGGTTGTACCACTTGTGTGAGATGTCCTGAAAAAAAGAAACGCATTTTACACTAAAAGACGCGATAAAAGAATTTTTTGGCAACCGGCATGTCACGTTTTATTCTCACAACGGCGTATGGTATACAGGATAAAGTATCTGGGAAAGTTATCACATTTTTTCACGAGTCATTTTATGCTAACGGCGGAACTATCCGAGGTTATAAATGGATTTCGGGTTGGGACTATTTTTGTTAGAAAGGCCCTAACGAGTCGTGAAATACCCGAACTTTGTTGCTGAGATACTGAATTTTTAGTCAGTTTTAGCCTACAGAGCTTGGCTTTCGAGCAAAATCCGACTTTTGTGTTTTGCTTTCAAACTTGTCACACTTGTAGTCCATGGTCATAGTAGTACGACGGAAAAAAATTCGGTGCTAATGAATTTTCCTGCCTTGAGATATTGAGAGTCGAATAAGGGTGAGGGTCAAATGTTCGAATCTGAAAAAGAACGAAGAATGCTGGTTGTAAGTGTTTAATTGATTACTAATGCTAATCAGTATGATTCTCTTGTTTATAATACTTATTTATCGATTTATTAGTTTATGATAGACAGATAGATCTCTACACAAGCCTGACGCGTTCCTAAATATATCATGTAAGACAATCAACAGAATCCTTGTTTATCGTGTACCATAGGCTCTTGTGAGATTAAAACGTGACATGTCAGCTGCCAAAAGATTCTGTTATCACGTCTTTTAATGTAAAATACATTTTCTTTTAAGCTACAGTCTGCGCAAATCGCGTCGCGATTTCGATCAAATCTTCAAAAGATTTGATACCTTCATCACGACTACTTTTTGTCGTGTAGTGATTCGTGGTTAGTCGCTAATCACCGTTTTGTTTCGTCGTAAGAGTAAGCGCTCTACAAAATGAGCACCTTCTCTCGCAAACCTATCTCCTCCCTGGTTTCGAAACTTTTCTCCGACCGTCATACGCCATTCGAATCACCATTTGAAGGACAACAAAAGTACGCATCGCTTTTTAAAAAAGTTCTATCCTCATGGAGAAAGGTGGACTTTACTGAAAAAAAGAATGACCGAAAAAAGGCGTTTTTTTCTAAAACTGCTCTTTTTTATTTATTTTTAGTTTTCATACATGTATATAGGTTAAAAGCAATGTAGAATACGGTGGTTGAATAAACGTAGTACACACTTTTACATCGCCTACATTTGTGATCTACTATTCTCGATTGATTGAGTCCTTATGAAAAAATGTAGAATACACTGGCTGAATGACTTCCTTGGCGAAGGAATAATCTTATTTGTTCAATCACGTGATAAACACATTCGGTCGCATAATATTTCTAGGCCGAACGTGTGTGGTAAGCGAACCGTTCGATGGGCGAATATGTGCGATACAACCGTTCGATGAGCGAACTATCGGATTGGTGCATGCCTACTAGTATAAATGTATGATCGTACTCCCACTTATTATACTGACTGTTTGATTTATCTGTCTTAAATAAGATATAAGAATACTGTTATGGGTGATCGGATAACAAA